TTCAGTTTAAAGACAATTCCCTGATTAATAGTTGCTTAATAGTATTGAATTTATCAACCGATTTTAGAGAAAAAACACGTTCTCTGCTCACCTCACAGCAGTGTTGGTTTATGGTTTAAATATACAATTATTTAGATTGAAACAAGAGTAAATGTGTGGAGAAGAAACCCCAACAGGGTGTGGATATTTTTGTAAGGCACTGTACTCAGTGTTCTTATTTAAATGAGCTACAAAGATGGTTCAATATAATCCCCAGATTACAAAGGTTTACATGGATGCATGTTTGTCTGTTGGTATTGTCTGGTGAAAATGTGCACTATTTTCCTCACCCACACCGTGAAACATTACAGTCTTTCCAAATATCCTGCTTCTGTTTGATTGCTCATCATTCTCAGCACTCATGTCTTTTATTTTCTTATTCTCTCCAGGTACCAGGCCAATCAGCAGCACCCTGAGGCCCAGCATGTGATGCCGTACCACAGCTTTGGTCACTACACCGACGGCTACATGGAGGAGCCCGTCATGGCGGAGCTGTCTGTCCACAGGGAACCATCGGAATACCAGGAACCCTTTTACCACAGCTTCCCTCCAGCATCAAATCATTACCAGGAGCAGATCAGCCAGCCGAGCTTCACGGAGCATCAGCAGAACCTGCAGCCCCCTGCAGCCCCCCAGCAGACTCAGCATCAACATATGATCCAGCAGCAGCAGCAGCAGCAACCTAACATCCAACCTCATGGCTCCCCTCAAGGTAAACCAGCAGGTCATCAGGCTCTTTGTGACATTGGTTTACATTCCTTTAATTGCTTTTTGAATTAATTACGGACCAAAACTGAGACGCTGAGTTGTGTTCTTGCTCCCTACAGTTTTAACGCCAGTAAAGAAGAAAAGAGGTCGACCCTCTAAGCAGCAGGCGGAGGAAAAGCAGATCAAGGAGGAGGTGGACGAAGCAGAAGCTGCCAAGAAAGCAAAAAGGGTTCTGAACCGGTTCAACGGCATGAGTGTGGCGGAAGTCATGAACAAAACGCTCCCTGATGTTCTAACCTACAACCTGGACATTTTAATAGTGAGTTTCTTTGCCTGGGTTACGGCTGTTGAGTGGTTGGCTGTGGATCAGCAGCTCTTTCCTGCATCGATGACCTCTTCATGTTTGTCCTCAGATCGGAATAAACCCTGGACTGATATCCGCCTACAAAGGACACCATTACCCAAACCCAGGAAACCATTTCTGTAGGTTAAAATTAATTGACTTCCGGTTCACGGAGACACACGATATGAGCTGTTCATAGGTTAATCTCCCGGACCAAGTCTGTGGTTATACAATAAAGAAAACAAAGCTTCTTCTGGCTTAAGCTAACTTGTGAAGCAGAAAACTCAAGTCAGGGATCTAAACGAGAATAATCAACAGGGCAGATTACAGATGACCTACACACTGTCAGGAAGGGAGATTAGAAACACGTCTTTGTCTAATCTGATATTTTTTCAAGAAGGGAGCATTTTAAGTTGTAGTTATTTTAATCTAATCTCATACTGAGAACAAATTACTTTCAGGTACCTGAGTGAAGTTGACCCCCCCACCTTCTTCAAATTAGTCAAAATTAGTGTCAAACGTTTGTGCAGCAAAACTTTTTGTTTGTGCCACTATCATTTTAAAGATATAAAGAGATGTTTCTA